GAATTCTAGATAGGCTGACTAGATTCACCAGACGGACAAGCACTGGGGAACGGCTGGGAGCTCCAACAACACAGTGGACAGTAAGGGGGATGACGGAGTATATGGGCTCCAGTTGGGGAGGGGGGCTGTGGGAGGGTGTCATTTGGGATGTGGGTATATAGATAAGATTGTTTGGGATGTTTTGTATGAAATACACACAAAAAAAATCAACATATTAAAAAAATGAGTTGTATTTGAGGAAGAAGCCTAAAAATTTGCTTCATGTTAATTAGTAGAGGTGAAAAAGGTGATAAACATTACCACTGAAATCTACCTGATGACTTTATAGCCATAGTCAGGTGCCAAGAATCTGAGTGTAACCGACTACAACTAGTAATAATCAGATACATAGATATTAGAGATGCATGTGCGAACATCTAAGTGTTAGTAGCATTAAAAATGAGTCTTTCTGTAGGAAACAGTATTTTTTTTAAATGAAATGGAGATCTTTTTTAAGGTTAAAACCTCATTCAATTTTATGTCTGATAGGGTTTATAGTGAGTTCAGTATCGTATAACTGTATTCATTCAACTGTGAACCTAAAAATTTACATCCAATTTTGAAAGAAATGCATCTTTGCTCTAGAAATTGTTATTGAATATGTTAATGCTGTAATGAAATGCTTCTTCTAATCATGTGGTTATTAAATAATTTAAAATTAAATAAATAAATAAGGTGGAGAGTGACTGAGGAAGACACCCAGGGTCCACCTATGGCTTCCATACACACACAAGACATATGCTTGTATACCTGTGTTTGTGTATGAAATACAATAAAAAATATACAAAAAGCTTACAAAATCTTTTTTTTTTTTTTTTTTTCGGTCTTTTTGAAACAGAGTCTCCCTGTAGCCCCAGCTGACCTGGAACTCACTATGAAGACCAGGCTGGCCTTGAACTTACAGAGCTCCACCTGCCTCTGCCTCCCGAGTGTTTTCCAGGCAGGTCACTCGGGTACATGTAGCGTATGCTCCCCCGCCCCTTTCCTTTCACATTAGCCGGTGATCGATGGACATGCTATGAAAGCCTGAAAAGCACTTGTGCAACTCAGACTGTGTTCTTACACTTTTCCCATCACTTTGGGTCCCAGCAGAATGAGAGACACGTAACAGAATGCTGCACCAGCCAAGCTGTCTCCAGCTGAGGCCAGCCTGGATCAGGCCAGTAGGACCCATGAGTGGTACATGATTGGTGTTTTAAACCACCAGATTGTGAAGTGGTGGTGACAAGGCTAAAGTACACCAAGGGGACCGGCAAACGACAATCAGGTAAATAACCATTATACAACCCTGAGGAGAATAGAGCATCTACTGGCTCCAATTAGAGGGAACAAACACTGAAGAGAGTGAAGCGACCTGTCTCCATCCACACAAGTAGAAAATGGCAAAGTGTGTATATGAGCCAAGGTCTACCTGATTCTAAACACTGTAATATGCTGCCTCGAACTCACATCCTCCTTACAGATTTAGCTCAAAAAGTCTTGGGACAGATCTTAATGTGACTTAAGTAGAATATAATTAGACAGGAAGTAAAGTCTAACTGGGGAAGCCAACCTCACCAGTGCCTACTTTGAAAGCCACGTAAGAGGTGTCCAGAATACAACTGAAGTCACTACAAGCATCAGATATCTCTATGAGGAGAACATTCAAGATGCATGAGGTAGAAAGTAAGATACAAGAAAGCCGAAAATCATCCCATCGACTTCCTATCTCCACACAGGTAACCCATATTCAAATGCCTCCTTCTCTCCTGACAAATGGCACTAAATTTAGAGTTTATCTTACAGAACTAGTACACAGACAACTGGAGGAAAGTCCTGCTCGGGCACGACTCACATTTAGTGCAAGGGAACACTTACTTTCTATGTCTACAGTTAGACCACCTTCAAATCCACTCAAACACAGGAGGAATTCGGGCAAGAGACTGACAAGAAAAGAAGCTGAGGAAGTGTGTATCTATCAGCTGGGGGCCTTGAGGTTCTCTGATGCTCACATCTTGGAGATTCTTACATATATATATGTATATATGTATATATAATTTAATATTTTTATTTTATGTGTATGAGTGTATTGCCTGCATGTATGTGAGTGTACCTGTGTTGTGCAGTGCCACAGAGGTCAGAAGAGGGTGTCAGATTCCTATGGAACTGGAGTTAAGGACAGTTCATAGCCACCATGTGGGTGCTGGGAATCGAACCCGGGTCCTCTGCAAGAGCAGTCAGTGCTCTTAACGGCTGAGCCATCTCTCCAGCCCTCCTTGGAGATTCTTAAGAGTTGGCAATTGGTTTTGAGCATAGAAAGAGTAAGAATTTTTTCACTGAACATGGTATTTCATTTCACACTCAGAATTCAACTGTCAGTTTTTCCATGTGGTATTCATGGATGCCGGGCAATTGTGAGTCTGCTGGATAGCTTCAGTTTCAACTTGACACACCTGGTAGAGGGAACCTCAGTTGAGGAACTTCCTCCATTGAGTTGCCTGTGTCCATGTCTGTGGGACATTTTCTTGATTGTTGAGTGATGTGGGAGGGCCCAGCCCAGCCCACTGTGGGAGGTGCCACCCCTGAGCAGGTGGTTCTGTGTTGTATAAGAAAGCAGACTGAGGGGGCTGGAGAGATGGCTTATCAGGTAAGAGCACTGGGTGCTCTTGCAAAGGACCTAGTTTTGAGTCTCAGGACCCACATGGCAGCTAACAAGCATCCATAACTCCAGTTCCAGGGGATTTGATGCCCTCTTCTGACCTCTGCAGGCATTGCATGACACAAGTGCACTTGCACACATGTAGGCAATATACTCATACACATAAAATAAAAATAATAAAATAATTTTTAAAAAAGAAATCAGATTGAGTACAGGCCAGGAGAGTAAACAGCATTCCTCTATGGTCTGTGCTCCAGGTTCCTGTCCAGAGTTCATGCCTCAGCTTCCCTTGATGATGGACTATGAGCTATAAGCCAAATAAACACTTTCCTTTCCAAGCTAATTTTGGTCAGCCTTTATCACAGCAATAAAAATAGCTAGAATAGGGAGGAGGGTTTTAAATATTTTATTTATTTTTATTATTTTTATTTTATGTATATGAATGTTATACCTGCATGTAGGTAAGTGCACCCATGCTGTTCAATGGCCACGGAGGACAAAAGAGGCTGCTGGATCCTCTGGGACTGAAGTTACGGGCAGTTGTTAGCTGCCATGTGGGTACTGGGATTTGAACCCGGGTCTTCTGCAAGAACAGTCAGTGTTCTTAACCGCTGAGCCATGTCTCCAGGCCCCAGTAGGGAGGTTTCTTTAAAAAAAAAAAAAAAAAAAAAGGAGGAGGAAGAAGAGGAGGAAGAGGAGGAGAAGGAGGAAGATGAGGAAAATATGTACAATCTGAGGCCCTATTTTTTTAATTTTTAAAATAAAAGAAAATGAGTTATATTTGAGGAGGAAGCATAAAAATTTACATCATGTTAATTAGTAGAGGTGATAAACATTACCACTGAAATCTACCCGAAGACTTTATAGACATACACAGGCGGCAAGGATCCATGTGCAACCGACCACAACTAGTGATAATCAGATACATACAGATTAGAGATGCATGCACCAACATCTCAGTGTTAGTAGCAAAACAATGAGTCTTTCTGCAAGGAACAATATATTCTAAAATGAAATGGAGATCTTTTCTAAAGGTTAAAAACTCATTCAATTTTGGGGCTGGAGAGATGGCCCAGTGGTTAAGAGCACTGACTGCTCTTTTAGAAGACCTGGGTTTGATTCCCAGCACCCACATGGTGGCTACAAACGGTCCTTAACTCCAGTTCCAGGGGAATCCAAAACCCTCTTCTGACCTCCGTGGCATTGCACAACAAGGGTGTACTCACATACATGCAGGCAATACACTCATACACAAAAAATAAATAAATAAATAAATAAATAAATAAATAAATAAAATGAATGAATGAAAGATGATACAATTTTATGTCTTACAGGGTTTATACTGAGTTCAATATTATATAACTGTATTAATTCAACTGTGAACCTAAAAATGTTATAGCCACTTTTGAAAGAGATGTATCTTTGCTCTGGAAATTGTTATTGAGTATGTTAAAGCTGTAATGAAATGCTTCTTCAAAAAATTTTTTTTTAAATTTTAAAAAGCTGAAGCCTTGAAAAAAGGCAGGGTAATGAGGAAAGGTGGGAAGTAGAGAGTAAACGTGAAAGGGAGCTGTGAACTATCTTCCTAGAGAAAACACTTCATCTGGACAGACCGCATAGTATTTGTTTATATGCCACAATAAAGGCAGCTTTTTCGATTTCTTTACATTTAGAAACATTTCAACCAAATCCACATTTTCAACCAAATATACAACCATATGTTACTAGTAAAAGACATCCAAATCTTAATCTGTGTAGTGTGAACTTCTCTGTGGGATTATTATTTTGTTGTTATTAAATGTATCCTAATTGTATAA